TTTAGTACGTAGGTTGATTGTTTGTATGGATTATTGAACTGTTTCCATTTTTATTATAAACACGGAGTATAATTCTATATGCCAAATCAAACATACCCAGAGTATGTATGTCTCACATGGAAGAAGGGTCTTGGGAGGCTTATTCTGTGAGGACCCATCCACCCGGGCCTAAGGTTTGACAAGTTTTGGATGATGTTAACAAATTGAAAACTATTGAAATTCTTTGAAAAAAAGAAGAAGATATTTGTGAAGTTTTTGAGGTACTCAGAGTATGAAAAAAGACATCCAGTCGAGGGAAGTAGCATTGTCTATCACCATCTCATTAGCTTGTTAAGTGCCCATAATTTATTTTTCATTATATATTATTTCATCAGTGTCTTATTAGCTTGTTATACTTGGGCAATAACATTTCCAATTTAATAATAATAATAATAATAATAATAATAATAATAATAGTATAATTATTACTCGGTATTATTATCATTATTTGAAGGATTATTATCATCATTATTAGTTTTGTATGGAGTATAATTGGGACGGAGAGACTATTAATCTATTATACATTTGCATGTATAGTATGGTGTTTATTGTATGCCTATTTATAAGGCTGATAGGGGTGGTTCACGCCATCACGCTTATCAAGCCATCTCATTCAGCTTCTTGTTAGTTTTTCTTTTTTTCATCACTAGACAAGGTGGTGCATCATGCCTAATTTTTTTCATTTATTAAAATAAAAATTACTTAAAAAACATTATATAAGTATTTCATAAACAATAAAATTAAAAATTATATTGACATAATACAAAAAAACGAGCTATAGATGGCGAAAAAAATACATGTACTCAGTTAAAAAAATACCTCCATCTTTTTTTCGTTCTTTTATATTCTTCTTTACATCTATTTTAATTAAAATTATTTAAACTAAAAATATATATACTTTATTATTATAAACTTTAAAAGATTATATAAAAAACTATTCAAAAGATAAAATTTCATTTGATTAGCAAAAAAACTTAAAATTTAAAACAAGAAAAGTAGAAAAAATTTAAAGAAAAAGAGAGAGAAAACAAACCACAAAACAAAGGAAGAAGAAAACAACACAAGAAAGAAAAAAAGGAAAAAGAAAGAAGAAATTTGTCGTGGTGGATGTGATGGACTGATGGCCATCAGTGCATAACGATCCCACATGGGGGGTTGCATGGCCATCACATGCTAAAGTGGCACCGGGTGGCCATCATGGCGCACCATCACCCCACAATATTGATCTAAATACTGATCTGCCTAAGTAAAATAATAATACCCTTTTCACTTTTTAAGTAAAATAACACCCGTGATTCAACATAGGAAAGAATCTTGAGTCCATTTCATATTTGGGCTCTTTCTTGATAACTGTTTTGATCTTATGCATTCTATTACTAGCATTTCTTTTTCACTTTGTGCGTAGGTAATTTAATTTTGTTGCTCATACTTTGGCTAGAACTGCTACGTCTCTGGTTTTCTGGGAGCGTACACAACTAGAATGTATACCTCTTCTTATTTCTTCAGAATGAAATTATCGATATTTTCTTTTAAACAAAACACCCTACTCGTGAAAAAGAATGAAATGAAATAAGCAAAATCACAAAGCAAAATGAAAAAAGAGAAACAAAAAAGAAAACAAAGTCTTTTGATGCAAAGGTGAGATCACATTCCAAGCATCACTTTCAAGTTTCAATGTGTTGTGGAGAAGTTAAACGAGAGAGAGAGAGAGAGTGTGTGTGTGTTTGTGCAATTTGATGATGTGAATGGAATGGCGTAGTCGGCTGTGTGTTACGTGTTGGCTTTATCTTTCGATGCATCATAGAAATAGAACTGGCGGACCATTTCCATTATTTATTCATTTATTTATTTATTCAGATGCTCAAAAATTGCATATACTCCGTATTATATTCCCTCCGTTCAAAATAGAATGTCACAATTACTATTTCGGATTTTCAATAACTTTTATTTGTTTATTCATTTTGGTTGACCATTTGATATAATAAAATATTTTCGTTACATCTTATTTTGTAAAATTTTTGATGTACTTTTCAAAGATGTAATTTTTATTTTTATTTCTCTATTGATATGTAAATGAATAATTTTAAAAAAAATGATATTTTAAACAATTTTTTTGAAATGTTACAAATAATTTAAGAGGGAGGGAGGATTATTGAAGTGGTAAAGAGTAATTGGAGTTGTAGTGGCGTCTTCACTCACAATATTGCATTGCTGCCACATGTGGGATGTCTCATTTTCCCTACTTGGTCATTCACGTGGTCCATCATCATTTGTAGGAAAAAAAAGTCTTCTTTTATTTCATATTTCTTCCGTTCCAGTGTATTTATTTAGTTTAATTTTTTCAAATTAAGCTGGATAAATTTAAATTATCGATCACTCTTAATTTCTGTAGCATATCAATACAATAAATTAAAATTTTAATAATCTCAACATGATAAATCTATTGAAATAATTATTATCTAAAAATACATTACCATTTTTAGTTAATTGAAGTCCAAAGGTTGTTCCGTTTAATTTGAAAAAGTCAAATTGAATCAATACACTAGAATGGAGGTGGTATATTATATTGACATGATTTATAAAAAAGAAAGCAAAATGCTAGGTGTACCGCATTTGTCCCCCACATCCTCCTTGTCCACATAAATGGGCAAGAGACTAAAAACAAATTAAAAAGAAATTATCCTAAATAAGAATAAAACATACTCCCTCTGTTTGCAAAAAAGGTTCATACTTTGACTTGGAGCCAAAATAAAAAAGTGTTAAATTATAGTTGACTTCCAATTTTGCCCCTGTAAAATTTGAACTGTGATCTCTAAATCAACAAAATTCTTATGCTATATCAAAGAAAGCAACTTAACTAAAAGTTCAAGAACATAAGACAATAAGTTAGGACTAAGAGAACAAGAAAAATACTCTCTCCGTCCTAATTTGATTACAACTTTTTCTCTTTTCGATAACTTTTGTTTGTTTACGCAATTTATTAGATATTTGATAAAATAAAATATTTTTCACTTCTTGTTAAGTAGAACTTTTGATATAGTTTTTTAATATTTAATTTTTATTTATTATTGATATACTGATTTATAAACAAAAAGATTTCAAAAAGTGAGATATCTCTCCTCGTAAACCCCAATTTGTAATCAAATTGGGGACCGAGGGAGTAGTACAAACAAATTGGGGCAAAAACAAGAGTAATATCAATTTGATGGATGGATGGATAAATGGGGAAGCCACCTTAAACTCTTAAAGTTGGAAACCCACTGAGTTAATAACCTGTGAATGAAAATTTAAAAAAAAAAAGATTGATTGATTGTGACATTGAAGAAGTTTAGAAAACACCTTCAAATTCCTTTGTACAATTTTACTCCCTCCGTCCCAAAAAGTCTTTCCTGTTTCATTTTTTGCGCATCCCATAAAACACTTCTATCCCGTCTTGAATGCCAAAAAAACTTTCAAAATAACTTCTACCCACAAAAAAGAAGAAATTTTGTAAATTTTAAACATTTTAGATGTCGTTAGAAGTGTTTTATGGGATGTGTAAAAAATGAAACAGGAAAGACTTTTTGGGACGGAGGGAGTACATTTTTGCCCAGCCATCACTCATTGTCTGCTTTTCATTTTCCCTTTCAAATTAGTAGTGGCGTATTCCATTAAGCAACCAACTCTTAAATGGTCTGTGGCAGAAATGGACATGCACCTCTTTTTTTTCTTTTCTTTTTTCATCTCTCTCAGGGTTTTATGGCCATTGAGTGTTAAAAAAGATGTTTAGACTAATTTCTGTAAACTTTTTGTGAAACTTTTGGATTATGTCATTATTGGTTTACCTCCTTTTGTAATTATTTAATTTTGTAGTTTATAATTACTTCCCAAATTGCCAAATCTGCAGGTGATCTCAGCAAGGGGGCAACCTCATGCTTCCGTTCACGGGACAATTTCTCAAACTCTTGAGCATGCCTATGCTTCCCTCTTTCCCCATTCCCTTGAGTTTTGTCTCTTTAAAGTCATACACACACACACACACATATATATATATATTTGTGTGTGTGTATACATACATACATGAAAATGTTATGTAGGAGGAGCAGCGTTAACAAAGAACATGATAGAGTATAAAGAATCACGTAAAACACTTTCAAATCAAAGCTATTTCAGAGTATACGAAATACTTTAATCGGATAAGACATTAATCAAGAACAAGCATCAAAAATCGAATACCTTAACCCATACCTACGAGGTGCTATTTATATAGTCGAAAATCAACGATCATACATGAACGTTCGCATATGAGGCGAACGTTCGCACGAGGAGATGACGCCTTGAAAACATGAAACTTTGCTTAAGGAGACTGACGTTTGCGCGAAAGGATTCTTGCAATTTTAGGGTTAATTTAGCGTTTATCTCCACGTTCAAATCTTTTAAAGTTTCGGACTCTGTTCACAAAAAACTAAAAGGTTTTCATAAAAATGTCCAAAATAAAAAATTTTCCAACTACCCTGGCCAGGGGCTCTGCCCCTTGGACCCTAAGGCTGCTGCCCCCGGACCCCGCTATGAATTTGTAATATCGTTGAACGAGTGCGCCCTCTCCACCTCCTAACTCGTTTGGCAATGTCTATTCAAATTCTTGTATGCTCTAAGTAAATCCAATCATACAAAATAGCGGATGACACAAATTAAAAATCACCAACACACACACACACACACACACACACACACACATATATATATATGGTGCGGTTCCTGTGAGAATGACTCTTGTGGAGAGAAATAAGAATGAATTTCATCTGTTAGATGCACTAGATCTTGCGGATGTCCTTTTTACAATTAGTGGGCTATAATTTACATCTAAATAAGGTTGGTAATTATTAGGGTGGATTTTTTTAGGCGCGTTCCATTGGAGGGTCATTTCCGTCATTCTCTTATGCTTTATTAGACGTGCGCCTATTACGAAGCCGCCATTCCCGCTTACCAAAATTAAAAAAATTCTTCTCCCTTACCAATTTTGAAGCTGCAGAGTCCCTACAGACTCAATCTCGAGCTTGGCATCTCAATTTTGAGCACGTTCACCGGAGTAGCAAGTGCTAGCGATGGCGAGAATAGAGAAAGGGAGATGATGGTGGTTTCCAGTGTTTGTGGACAGGTTCCTTTAATTTGCTTAACGATTCTTAAAATGCATTATATTCTGTTAGTGATGTATGTTGATTGAATTATAAAAGTTTTTTCTTGATAGGTTTTTGAGAATTCTAAGGAAACAGATGTTGGGGAAAGAGAAGAAGCAAATGAAGGAATGCAGGGGGTAGAGCACCAGGTTTGGGGTTTAGTTAAAATTTGCCTTAGAATGCCCGGTATTATGTACTTTATGCATATGTGTCTAATGTAATTCTTATTTTGGGTGAAAGTTGGTGACTTTGTGGTGGAGGCAGAGCTTGGTAACAAGGAGAAACTGAATATTGGAATTCGGGAGATTGTTGAGCAGGTTTCAATAGTTAACCACAATATGTCTCCATAATGCTAAGTAATTTGTTCGTAATGCATCTGTGTGATGTGTAACTGTTGTGTCCTTGTAAAGGTTGGTGTAAAAGAGGTGGATGCACCAGTCAGTGATAGAGGGGAAGGACCTCATGCAGTTCAGGTAGTTTTTTGTAATTGGGATTAAGAAAAGAAAAATTTATATTGAGTGTTATGTGTTTTTAAGGTGCACGTTGTATGTTTCTTCTTTTATTGTTTATAGAATGTCATTTCCAAGAAGGAAAAGCGAAAGGGGAAAACAACATTATTCATGAAGTCACCGTACATGAAACGGGCCGTGGACTTAAGAGAGAATGCAAGCAGCACCGAAAATCGTATTTGGAAGTGGGTGATGAAAAACACAGAAGCATCCAGGTTTGTACATTAGACCGTAACATGTAGATCTTTTGTGAGAAGAGTATCACATTGTTTTGTTGTATTTGCTGAAATTCTATTTGGTAACATGTATATGCGTTTTTAAATGTCGGTACACACATGGATGAGGTGTTGTTTAAGTGTGGGGACCTGTGTTGAACCGTGGAGATTTGATGACACTACATTCCGGTGAACACATATCGCATCTTGTTCTTGATGCCTGGTCTACCATTCTTAATCACAAGGAGCTCTACCGTAGTGTTGATTCCCCAGCCAGTATCTATGCAAAGTCATACAAATGTGTAAGTGCTTTTGTTGCATTTTTTAAATCTATTATGTATTCTTTGATATGTTTGGTGCTAACATTTTTTTGTTGGTAGTTATATACGTCTGAAGGTGCACTACCAGATGAAAGCCATGCATTTGGTAGTTTTTGTGATGCATTGGATGCTTATTGGACATCTACCACCCCAATAAACGCAGATTTGGTATTGTGTTTAGAGAGTTAATAATATTATATATTCTAATTTTTTGAATTCATCGGGTTTTGTGGTCCATTTTATATGCATGAATGGTTTCATAAGCATTTGATTTTGGTGCAGTTATTTATCCAGTCATGCAATTGAAGTGGTGCTATTGTGTTTGTGTAAACACGAAGGGCAGTAGGCTGGAAGTGTTGGACCTCTCTTCGTCATGCACAAGAGCCGACGAAAAATATGAGGACATGCCTGCTAAGCTGGTTAGTTAATCCATGCAGTGAAGATTTTTTACCCTTTGACGAAGCACTGTGTTTCACTACTCATCCTTTTGTAAACATTGAAATGCAGCGTGACATGCTTGTGCAATTCTTTAAGAACGAAGGGATGGAAGGAAAGCTGAAAAAGCTAAGTACACAGCGGCCAACGCGGCTTAAAATTCCTTGGAGGGAGCCCACGTCCATACATGAGTACGGTGTTGCAACTATGCGCCATATGGAGACATACATGGGGCTTGGAGTAAAAGGATGGGACTGTGGTTTGAGTAGGGAAGATCAGAAAGCCTTTAATGCATTGCGTTTAAAGTACTGTGCTTGCATCGTTTTGGCAGAGGTGAATGAGATGAAGGAGGAGAATATGGCCAAGGGAAAGAATTTCGTGGCAGCTTGATGTTGGAAACCAAACAATATTTAACATTTGCAGAAACGTCTTTGGTGTTTTTGCACACCGGTTTTTTGTTTTTTGCTGCTGGTTTTTTTTTACAGTATTATGGTTTTATCTAGTTTTCAACACTAATATCATCGATATGAATGATCAGTTGGTGATAGATAGTTTTGATCAATTTTGGAGATTGATTGTATCGGTAAGATGGCAATGGAGTTATTTGCATTTTACTTAGGATTGGTTTAGGTCGTGTGTTTTTTGATGACTTGTTTGTACATTAAGCATTAACCAGTTGTAAATGTGGTTTGGATGGGATGCATTGTAGCATGGAATGCATTGAAGGGTGCATTTATCAATGTACTAGAATGCATTATATTTATCAATAAATGCGCCCTATACCACAATTGTGTTGAACCATATGTTTACATTACATGAGTATTGAGCATAGTAGTTATGCAGTACATTTGTAGTATACTGCATTCGTCATAAAAGTTTGGAGAGCGTGGGATATACACAAGCGCAAATTCGCATGTTGAATGCATTGCAACGAATTTTTTGATGCTTAATAATCGGGAAAAAATGCTTTTTTATATTTGAGACAAAAGGCATTGGTAAGTGTATATATAAGTATGAGTTTTGCTACAAGAGGAAATACTTTAATAAGATAATTCATTACTGTTTATTCAGTGGGCAATTTCTACTATCATGGTATCCCATCTCACGGCAGGTTTTACACATTCGCTTGTTCTTCTTTACTTGCTCTATGCTAATCTCCAAAGCGCTTTTGATTCTCTTCCCACCACCTTTGTTGTGTACTTGTTGGGGAGGGGAGTAATGTTTGATGGTGCAGATGTGCCATAGAATGACTCAAAGATCGGGTCTTGTGGTGAAGTAAGATTAGACTGAAGTGCATTTTGGAGGATGTTCTTTTGCTATTGCATGACCTTTGAAAATCCATCCAATAAGTCCGGTTTTTGTTCGGTAGCTGCAACACAGTAGTGAATATCCGACCACAAACGGTTCAATGCTGTTTTTTCCCCTTCAACAGCTGTAACGGCATCAAAATCGATGTCGGGGATGTTGATCATGGGCTTCAACAATTTTGTTTTACACCATCTGGGGTTGATATACAGATCTGGAATCTTACGAATGTTCTCATCCTTGAAAACTAGAAATATGTGTCTGCATAATAATCCAATGCGCATGTAGTGCTTACAGCTGCATGTTGTAGTGCCTTGAATGCGTGAGTATTCGACGGTGAATGTCATACCCCTGTTGTCCTTGACTAAGTATTGGTTGTGTTGGTCGTCAAGTTCTTCGACTTGAAGTACTCTGCAAGAGAAGCATGCTGCACATATCTCGGCTTGAACATCGTAGAAAATAGTCAATGTGTAAACCGAGGATGCATGCTTCTCAATATCCAATGGAGTTTTAAACTCTGGGTAGCATGCTTCATCGTCTGCATTGTAGTCTGCATTTTTATGACGTTGAGAGTCCATGGCACTTTCAAACTGCATAAGAAGCTCCACCAGGCTAAAATTTTGCCCTGTAAAATCATCAAAGAAACTGTTCTCACTTTCGGAACGAGAAGTTGTACGCAGTAACCCTCCCATGAACAAATCTCTGAAGTATGCCAGAATCCACATGGTTCGTATCTGAAAAATCTTGGTAAACCACTTGTGAGATTCAAAATTATATTCGGCCATGAGATTTTGCCACTGCGTTTCAAAATCATCTGGCTCTAGATAGTGACTCCAGACGATGGCGTTGAGTTTGGACAAAAAATCTGCATCCTTAAGCAAATTGTTATCCACCTTCTTAACAACCTTTTTCATGATGTGCCCTATACAATAACGGTGAACGGTTCCTAGAAATCCCTGTTTCACGGCACCTCGAAAAGAAGGGTCTTGGTCAGTAATGATGCATTTAGGGGCATTACCCATTGCATTTAGAAAACAACGGAAAAGCCAAGCATAAGATTCATCATCTTCTTTGTTGATCAACCCAGCAGCAAATGTAATGCATTTTCGATGATTATCGACGCCTGTGAATGGTGCAAATATCATATTGTACCTGTACAGAAAGAGATAAAAATTTGATGATGAATGAAGACGTGAAATACTACAGTGGAAAAAATTAATGAACTAACAAGTAGATTGAATATACAAGAAAAACATGAGAAGTGGAATACACGTGCAAAGTACCTGTTGGTCTCATAAGTCGCATCAAACGAGACTACATCACCAAACATGGCATAGTTTTTTCTAGCAACAGGATCACACCAGAATAACCTTGTAAGTTGGTCGTTATCATCAACGTCGTATTCAAAGTGAAATGCAGAACAAGTCTCGTGTTTTCTAAATAGCTTGTCGATAACCATTTGTGCATCCCCGCCGGCAATATAAGCTTTGAGGTCTCGTCTAAAATTCTTAAAGTCACCAGCTGTGGCTCCAATATTATCGTAACCACCTACAGACTCTTTGAAAAGGCGGTAGGACTTCATTATTCCCATATTAGCCTTAACACAATTCAACATGAATTTCTTGTGACCAATATCTAGATTTCTGTTTACTTTTAAGAAAGGCCTTGAAGGAGCGGAAAGCATAGAATGATTGTGACATTATTTGAAAGAAGTGATAGAATAACCGGCTGACCCAGACAATCTAAGTATTACACGTTCCTTGCATCCGATGCGGTTTGAAATGCATCTTTTTTTTTGGAATGGAGTCTGCAACGTCTTGAACTGGAGTATTAGCAGTGACAGAAACATTCTTTTGACCCTTTCTATTACAGACAACATACTGCCATATGATCACACCATCAAGGGCAACATTCTTCGTTGTCGTGCTTTTTCGTGCATCAAAATCGACAAGGGCAACATATTCTCTGTAAAATGCAATTCCGTCGTCTAAATTTCAAAAAAACATACCGACACTTGGTTTGGAGCTTTCGGGGGAGGGGGGAGCGAATCCACTATCGCATCCGGCTTGACGGAAATGTTCCGTTGAAGAATCCGACTCTGTGTGTAGTTGTAGAGACGGATTAGAACACAATTTTGTGTGGGAAAATACATGATATAAAATGAATCCGGATCCAAGAATAAAGTGAAGACGGATTAGAACACAAACCTGAATCCGGATCCATGAACACGACATCGGAATATGGCATCCTCGAATTTAAGTGTCGATGTTTTGTGATATTGAAACGAGATGATTTCTGCGTTTGGGTGCGGTAGGAATAGAAGGAGAAGGTTGTATTTCGCCATCTTCAACAAGGAAGGAGATACGTGCACTGATTCTTCGGGCAAGAGAGACGGAAAAAAGGAAATGAGACTAGGTAAATAAGGGGGGAGAGTCGAAAGTACCATCCAGCCCTTGTTCGTTACAGTAGATGAGTATCAAGATGGAGGGACCAGATGCATTCTCATTTCTCTCCTAAAATCTCATTCTCACCAGAACCAATATATATATATATATATACATATATATATATATATATATATATATATATATATATATACATATACATATACATATATATATATATATACACACACACACACACATATATATATATGTATGTATGTATGTATGTATGTATGTGTGTATGTATGTATGTATGTATGTATGTTTAAAATTCATCCCCTTCGGGCAGATGTGGACCCACCTTGAGTTCTGCAGGATCCTGGGACCCCACGCACCCTGGTGTAGGTCCATATAAGTATTAGGTTTGTAAAAATATTAATATATAAGAAATGCGTAGCTCCAAGTAACCAGTATTGCATTTGGTTTAATGGAAGCGTGTGTATCATTGACACTCTGGAAACTCGGGTTTGACTTCCATCCTGGTCTTTTGGAGTCAGTCATTTTATGCGTAAAAACTAAAAGGCGTATCTTTTCTCCAACACCCCTATTTTCTCTGAAAATTTGACCCCTCTTCCCCAATTCTCGATTTCAAATTTTTAATTTTAAACCCTAACCTTCAATGTTTCTCCATCTCTCTTTTCCGTCGCCCGCCGGCCTTTGTTCGCCGTGCCGCCGAAGTTCGATCACTGTCCACAGCGGCAGCTCCAACAAGTAATTAATCTTAAAAACTTTTCTTTATTTTACTAAAATTGATTTTTATGGTAGTTTGAAGTTCGATATATGATTAGTAATATATAAAAGTAATATATGACTTATTCATTACTTATTCATTAAAGAATCAAAGATTTTTATTCAATAAAAATTGATTTAGGATTGCAAGTGATAAGTATTATTGTATTAATGTTCATTTTATGTCTATTTTATATAATTAATATTAATTTTTATCTACAAAATTTAAAATGCAAAGGTACTTCAAAAAGCTACCCAAATTCAAAGATTTGGAGTCGAGTGAAATTGGTAACACTATTAGTGATCCGATGTCTCAAGTAAATACTCCATCTATAGTTATTCAGGAAAGTACTCAATTCACTCCTGTTCAATAAGACACTCAACCTACACATGTTCAAGAAAGCACTCAATGTACTTCTATTAAAAGAAACTTTGATTTTGAGTCTTTGGAAGCTGACCCTGGATTAAGAAAGAAAGTTTTTGATTTTCATCCAAACGTACAAGATGAGGTACGTCATAGTTATCTTAAAAAAAGGACCCTTTCAATTAATCCAAAATTCATAATTTTACGTATAAGATGATTGGATCTAAGAAGCGTAAATTTCTTACTTCTTGGTATGTCAAAAATGACTGGTTGGAGTATAGCATTGCGAAGGATGCTGTATTTGATTTCCCTTGTTACTTGTTCAAAAATGAATGGGAATTGGGTGGTGATCATTTTGTTGGGAAATGATTTAGTACTTGGAATAAGAAAAAAAGTTGGGCGTTCATGTTGGGGGACCTAATAGTCCTCATTACATTTGTGTGAAAAAATGTGAAGACTTAATGAATCAGGATCAAACTATTTCATCCGCTCCCGTTAAGAAATCTCAACAAGTGAAAAGTGATTATGTTTTCAGTTGACGACATCCCTTCAAGTTACTAGATTTCTTCTTAGTGGGGGACTTTCATTCCAGGGACATGATGAATCATTTGTGTCTTCATATAAAGGTCATTTTTTTGAAACTCTACAACTACTGAGGATGCGTGACTCTGAATTGGATAAATCAATAAAAAAATGCTCCAAAAAATAATCAGATGATTTCACCGATAATTCAAAAAGATTTATGTTATGCATGTACATTTGAAATAGTTTGAGAAATTGCTAGCAAACTTGGAGATGGCCTTTTTGCTATATTAGTTGATGAATCAAGTGATATTGCTGGTAAAGAGAAAATGGCTATTGCCTTGCGTTTTGTTGATGAAACGGGTTCTGTTCTAGAACACTTTTTAGGCATTGTTCATGTCGAAAAAACTACTGCGTTGTGTCTTAAAAAAGCACTTGAGTGTATGTTATCCCAATATGGATTGTTATATCAAATATAAGGGGACAATGTTATGATGGAGCACGTAATATGCGTGGAAGGCTTGGTTGGTTGAAAATCTTAATTCAAAATGAAAACCCATATGCTTATTAATTATGTCTCTTGTTGCATCTTTGAAAGGACTCGTTGAAGTTAATTGGTTACTTCTCCATGTTAGTTGTGTTATTAATGAAATTTCTTCATCTAGTAAACGGGAAGATATCCTCCGAGAGAAGAAAGCAACTAATTTATCAAGTGATTTATTAAAAGGATTACTGAAAAATAGGTCGGGGCTTAAATCAGCAATTAACTTTGGTAAGACTGGTTGACACTCGTTGGGGTTCACATATTATAGAACACTTTTAAATTTGAAAAATTTATTTCCATCTGTTATTGAAGTACTTCAGCATTTGCAAATTCACCATAGAAGTGGAGAAGCTAAGTCATTATTAACAGAGTTACAAACTTTTGAATTTTCATTCATACTGCATGTAATGGTTGAGGTTTTGGGTGTCACTTGGGATTTGTCAATAGCATTGCAAAGGCATGAACAAGATTTGTTAAATGCTTTGAAACTAATTGAGATTGAAAAATCACGCTTACAAAGCGCAGCATGCATGCAATCAAAAGATGGATGGAATCTTATTTTCTAAAAAGTTTTAGTGTTTTGTGAGAGATATTCTCTTAAGGTGCTTGATATGAATGATTTATATGTTAAAGTGAACACTTCTGCACGCATGATATGGGTCGTGTAGAGGAAGAACACGAGAGCCCAACGGATCATGAGCAAGGAAGCCCAATAGAAGACCCACCGGACTCGTTGGCGCCCAGTCGGCCGCGTAGGAACGCGAGGCGACCCCGACGCTATGATGATTACGTTTTACTTTACTTTATGCTCGAAGAAATTTTACTTTTCCTTATTTTAATTATTGTAATTTAGATTTTATTAGGTGAGAAAATTATAAGCTCCTTTAAGGGTTTCTTTTTGGTTCTTTACCTCTATACTTTTCTTGAGCCGACGGGATTAGGGTTAGGGTTTTCTCTTTTATTTATATATATTGATGTACGCCACTTACAACAATATGAATACATCAATAATAGAGTAGTTTAGTAATTTGTTTTCCCCCTTCGGTGAACGCCGTCCAACCTGAGCCGCCCAACCTTGCGTTAATCAGGTAGGGTTTATGGCTCCTCACCCTTAACCCTTATCAACGCATGGCTCCTATTATTTCAAACATACATCATTATAAAATAGATTGTTTGTTTGAGATTATTGATAGGTTTGTTGATGAGCTTGATAGTCAATTTGAAGTGGCGAGTATGGAGTTGCTAAGTTGTCTAGCTTCTTTGAATCCATCTTCCTCATTTGAATCATTGGACAAGAATGCATTACTTAGATTGACTGAATTTTACGCGAGCAAATTTTTGGGAGTTGACCGTGTGACTTTGGAGAATTAGTTTGAGAATTATATTATGGATGTTCGCTCTGACCATAGATTCAATAATTTCAAGAGTATTGTTGAGCGCTTAATGAAAATGGTGTCCACTGAAAAGTCTCTTACGTATAGTTTCGTATATGCTCTCATAAAGTTGGCAACTTAGCATTGATACTTCCTCTCGCAATAGCAAGTGTTGAACGTACGGGCTTTTTCAGAAATGAAGTTCGTGAAGAATGAGTTGCGAAATAAAATTTGTGATCAATGGTTGAATGACTGCTTAGTAACTTATGTTGAGAGAGATGTCTTTTCCACCATTAGTGATGATGTAATTAAAGATCACTTCCAATGTATGAAACTAAACGAGCACAATTGTAAACGATATTATTTTCATATGACTTTATTTCTATGCATTAATTTGACTTTTTTCAAATACTCCCTCCGTCCCATAAAAAAGGTTACGTTTCATTTTTTTTGCGCATCGCAAAAAACACGTCTACCCACATCTAAAATGCCTAAAAATTACCACGTTTACTCTTTATTGTGAGTAGGAGTCGTTTTGAGAAAATTTGTGGCGTTCAATAAGATATAGAAATGTTTTATGAGATGTGCAAAAAATGAAACGTAACCTTTTGTTGGGACGGAGGGAGTATTAATTTTAGTTTATTGTTAAATGTTAAGACTTATGAAGTAGTTTGAGATGAGAGTGGGAGGTAGTGGACCCCGGACAGGGGCTCTGTCCCTTGGACCCCGCTAGGGACTGCCACCCCTTGGACCCTGCTATCCGTGGCTCCCGCCCCGGACCCCGCTATTAATTTGTAATATCGTTAAACGAGTGCGCACTCTGCACCTCCTAACTTATTTGGCAACATCTATTCAAATTCTTGTCTCATTTAAGTAAATCCAATCACACAAAATAGCGGATGACACTGAAACCACCAACCCACACACACACACTGTAACGCCCCAAAACATACTCTAGAATTATAAATGAATAATTAATCAATTAATCAATTTTTTTTTGATTAAAATAAATTGTTGTTGGGATTTGGGCTGAAATAAAATATATATTGATGTCCAATAAACATAATTGGGATAAAACTCATAAAGATAAATCCAACCTGTTGACTTATTGTGTGATCTTGATTGGGAACCTGAGTACAAACCCAAATTAAGAATAAATGAAGAAATTGTTTATAATGTGATCTTTGAAATGATTTAATCAAATAAATCATGAAAATAAGTTATATAGATTAAATATGAGAACCTTTTATGATAAAAGTCAATTAAACAAATTTTGACTCTGTCAAAGTCAACCACCCAAAAATATGATGTCGAAAAAAGTATAACGAATAAATATAAAAATTATATCATTGGATAGAGTTTAATTTTACGATCGCAACAGTGCAAACGAATTTCAATTCGGAGAAAGTTGGACCAAAAAGTGTACCCCGACTGGGACCGAATTAGTCCCAATCAGAGAAGTAACGTGCAGAATCACCTAGAAATCACATCTACGCCGAATGAGAACATGAATTGGGAATCCTACGCAGCAGCAGCTCATCTTCCCTGTCTTCTTCTCTTCTCCTCTTCTATATAAAGAACCCAATTCTCCATTTCTTCACCATTCTCTCTATTTCTTCTTCCATTTTGTCCCTAAGAGTGTGGAGAGTAGAGTGGTGCTATCCAGAGAGTTGGGGGTTGCCGGAGTTAGCCACAAACCTCGCTGGAATATCGTCAAAACCTCCATTAAGCTTTGAGGTAAGCCCGCTGATATATCTAATGACTAGAATGTTCATATAGATCGTTTCTACGTTCATAAACGGTCGTTTGGTTGAGTTTTGTGTTTGACATGCTTGATGAACCAAGAATCATAAACCATGAAATTGATGTTAAAACTATGAAATAATGATGCCAAAATGATCTATGAACCTTGGAGAACATCTCTATATAGTTTTGTTGAAGTTCGGTAACTAAAAATGGTATTTTCAAAATTGGACCCGAAGGTTGAAGAAGATGAACAGTGCTCGAAAATATGCAGAGAGGATCGATCATACCTCTTGGATCGATCCCCTAGGCATAATTTTTCTATCAATGATCGATGAAATGCATGCACTGGATCGATCCTCCGAAACTCTGACCCAAAAATTTGTCTGAAAATGCTATTTTTGAGCTCTAAAATCCTATTTTTGATATCAATTGATTATGATCATTATAAAAATGATTTATCACAATAAAAGTGATGTTTTTAACAAATAAAAATATTATGTGATGCATGACGTACGGTAAGTTAGGGTGTTAACACCCGAAGCTAGGCCGCTAATTGTTATTGAATATTATGTTGATTGATGATTATAGTAATGATTATTGATTGATGATTATGATGATTAAATCTTGATAAATGTTCTGATTAAAAATGGAAATTATGAATGATTAAATCATAATGAATATATTGATGATTGTGAAAAAAATATGTATTGTTAAGGGTATCTAGAAAACCTCTAAGATATACCCATATTAATGTTGATTTGAAAGGTATCTAGAAGAAATCTAAGATATACCTATATAAGTTAGGCCTTGCGGGTATGATGCCCGGTGGCTAAGGTTAAAACGTACGTACGGGATCCAAGAACCAAACTTGAGTACCTACTCGTTTGGGGGTACCACCCACCCAACAGTGAACACTACGCTGTTGGTTTTTGGTTGACCTTAAGCGAATGTAAGTTTAAGATTTGAAAACTCTTTTTAAAATATATCTTAAACTAGGCCTAGCTTAAGGATTAGATTATCTTGAACTAGAATTAGTTTAAGAATGGAATTGGCCTTAGACTAAAATAGTTTAAGGATATTGTTGAATATGAATGTTGAATATTGAACATGAATGTTGAATGTTGAATATTGAATGATGAATATTGAATAATGAATATTTAAACTGAACATTATGTGCATGATATCAAATGGTTGATTATGAATTGAGATTCAATTTATGTGGATGTTCGACGCATTAGATATGCTTACTCAACTTTACCGCTGAGCGTGTAGTGTGTTTTATTTGCTACACGCAGGTCAATAGAATGATGTGACGTGATCCTGGAGGCAGACGGAGGCGAGATAGTCGGAATGGATGTGATGGTTTTGAATTAAAGAATATAAATAAATTATGTTTGTGGTTATGATTTGTTAAGCTTCCGCAATATTGAAAACTCTGTACTGTTTATGATATGAAAAATATTATTGTGATAAATAAAAGTGTTTGAAATGTTTTAAATTTTATGATTACCAAGTTAATACTTTAGTCCGAAAGGGGCTGCAGACCTGGACGGATTAGGGTGTTACACACACAATCACACACAAAAATATGTGAGTCCTTCCGGTACATCAAAGGTCACCCGGGTCAGGGTGTTTTTCTTAGTGCTACCAGTAATCTCCAGATTTCAACTTATTGTGACTCTAACTGGACGAGTTGCCCACTATTATGCTGGGTACTTCTCTTGTGTCCTGGAAAACGAAGAAGCAAGCCACTCTTGCTAGATCATCTACGGAGGCCGAGTACAGGGCCATGGCTAATGCCTGCGTCGAAGTGAGGTGGATGCGTGGTATTCTTGGAGCTTAATTTGGGGGTTCTTATTTTATTTCCTCCATGGTTATAATGCGACAACGAGTCTGCATTATACATTGCTGCTAATCCAGTGTTTCATGAACGTATGAAACATGTTGATGTTGATTGTCATACGGTTTGCGAGAGTGTTCAACGATACGAGGTGCCAACGAGATATGTTCCCACTCGATATCAATTAGCGGATATTTTTACCAAACCATTGGCAAAACCTATTTTTGATTTTTTATTGTGCAAGTTGGGCATTCAGGATCTTCATGCGCCAACTTGAGGGGGAGTGTTGGCGGGTATTTGTATTAATGACGTAGTTTAGTAATTTGGGTTCACTACTTAAGCCCGCTTGTATGTTTGTATATATACTATGGTGATTAATGAGAAAGACAGATCAGTTTCCGTTGAAATTCTATATCATATCATTTCTTTCAGATTTCATAACATTTCTCTTATAAATTAAAAGTGTCATATTATATTACTCCTTCCGTCCACCAAAGATCTTCTCATTGCGCGTTACGAGGTTTGACCGGATTTATTTTTAATTTAATTTATTTGATTGTAAAGGTAAAATTTAAAAATAAAATTTATATAGTAAAAAAGTATATGAAAAGTTTTACAAAACTAGAGGTGACAATATTATTTTATGAAATGAGTGGTTAAAATAAGCAAACAAAGTGAATAAAGTGTGATCATGTGAATATAGTGTTTGAGAAGATTTACGATGGATATGGAGAGTACCTCTTTTGAGTAATTGAGTGCATCAAATGATTTTACATAATGGAGGATGCATGAGACGAAAAATGTATACTCCGGGCAAAAAACTTCGTGGGGCCAGGGGAGAGGCCGTGAGGGGTAGCCTTATGAAAGTGAGGTACTCCGTATTATAGAACCGGTGACGTGAAGGACTCCAACAGCCTATTAGAAGATACCAAAACTACTATCACAAGCAATTCTTGCCTGCATTTTTTTCTTTTCATGCTATGCATGCGTAGACCAAAACGTACTACCTCCCTCCACGTAAGATCTTCCCATTACGCGTTACGAAGCTTGACTGATTTTATTTTCAATTCAATTCAATCGATTATAGGAATAAAATTTTAAAATAAAATTCATATAGTAATAAATTACATGAAAAGTTTTACAAAACTAGAGGTGACAAGACTATATTATTTTATGAAATAACTAGTAAAAATGAACAAACAAAGTGAGTAAAGTTTGACCCATTGAATAGTGTCTGGGAAGATCTATGCTGGACAGAGTGAGTATATCGCAATTCTATTTTAAATAAATGCACTAATATTTTAACGGTTCACATTTATACGAAATATTTGTTCACTTAAAAAAATTTGCACTAATATTTTAACGGTTGATGTTGATATTTTCATTCTAACCTTTTTCTCTTCTAGTTTATTTAAGAAATAGTTTTAATAAAATGAAATTTCAAATTTAATGCTTCCTACGTTTCGAAATAGATTACAATTTTTTTCTCTCTCTCCTCTTGATAATTTTTATTTATTTTTATTGAGTATTTGATAAAATAAATTATTTTTGTCACCATATGTTTTGTAGAACTTTTGATGTAATTTTTAACATATAATTTTTATTTCTTATTGATGTATATATATCAATTTGTAAATAAAATAATTCCAAAAGAGAGAAATTTTATTTTGTAACTCTCAATTTGTAGTGAAATTAGAGACCAAGTAAATCATATGTTTGGCCTAATAATATCCTAATGAGGCATACTGTACTGTTTGCTAGCTGGCTTTATAATAGAATAATGAAGTAAACGAATTAAAAGTGTAGTTATTTATCCTAAAAATAAAGTGATACTATCATGAAAAGATCATCCAAGGCAAGTCAACCATGTCTCGCCTTTTACATACTCCGTATAACAAAAAAGTAGTAGTCGGATTGTAAATGAGAAAAGACAAATTCTTCCAAAGGTCTTAAGTTGCATACTCCTTTTATGGATTTTAGTATATAAACCATGAATGGATTGAATTCTTTGAAAAAAATATAAGATTTTCATGTCTATTCATAAAATGTGTGAGAAGATCCAAATTTCATATGTTGATCTTAAAATCATAGAAGCAAAATTCATAAGAAAAGTGTAATAGTGTTTCTTACAAGAGAGTTCTTTTTTTCTTTTAATTTGAAAGTATTCTTTTATATTTTTATAAGGTGACAGCTTTATATTCCTTATTTCTCTAAAAATATTTCCTCTTTCATGTTTTTAGGCCAGGTAAAAAATGGAGAAAAAAAACTAAAGTAGGAGTAAACATTGAAAATATACCAAAATAAAAGTTCCATATACTCCGTATTTATTTCTGAAATAGAAACTAAAATGCATTTCACCAATCATGACCATATACATTACCAAAAAGTATACCTAAATACACATGTACAGTGCCACATTACCACAATATGAACTCCTATTTTAGAAATAAAAATATGAAACTCATATTTTGGTACGTTCTCTATGTTTTACCCCTATTTAGGGTGATTTACTTTAAAACATGACCCGGTCTATTTTTTATACAAGACCCGACCTGAAAATACTAAGTTTTGAATAAAGGTTTTGTTGACCGAACACTAACTTGACCAAACCCAAAATGACCCGCTAAAAATGGGTCAAACCCGACCGAACCTGAATCCGACCTGACTGACCCGCTCATGTAAGAATTTTTCAAAATCATATATACTTTAATAATGTTATAAAAATAAGATTATAAGTATATTATTTCATTTCTTACTATTTGTTAAATATATTCTATATTTAATGTAAATATATTGTTTCCTATTATTGTCTCCTACCTTGTATAGGATTAGGAATATATTGTTTCCTATTATTGACTCCTACCTTGTATAGGATTAGGAACCCTTGTGTATATATAGAGATGTACTCCCACATATTCAATCAATGAAATCAAACCTTTCTACATGGTATCAGAGCCTAAAAATCAAAAACCCTAAACCCCCTCTCTCTCTCGTTCGGCCTTCTCTCTCGCCGTCAGCGCCGACTCTCCCCACGGCAGCTCTCCTCACCGGCGACACCCTCTCCTCCTCGGCGGTCCTCTTCTTCCCCTCACCATGGCCGAAAACAGCGAGATCACTTCCCAAAATAACTCCTCCAAACCTTCTCATCTTGCTTTCACAACAATCTCAAACGTGAAACTTCATGTCCCCGTTCAACTCAGTCTCTCCCAACCTAATTACAAAAAGTGGAGCTGACTTTTCCTTCTTCTGGTTCAGCGATTCAATCTCAAGGGCTACATCGATGGCTCCGTCGTCCCCCTCTCCGATGACGACGACGAATGGTTCCAACTCGACGCTCTCCTCCAAGGCTGGATCCTCTCCACCATCACCGATGAGGTCTCAGATCTGGTCATCTCCTTTGTCTCTACTGCCTCTGCTCTTTGGAAAGTCATCCACGACTTGTTCCACGACAACAAACATGCTCGAGCTATGCAATTGGAACATGAATTTCGCACGACAGTCAAGGGCAACTCCACCATGGCAGCCTATTGCCAACAACTGCAGAATCTTGCCGACTGGCTGGATGATGTTTATGCACCAGTCTCCCAACACCAACTCGTCCTTCAAATGCTTCGTGGTCTCCCTGCCGATCTCCGGGGACAAACATCATTCATGCAATTTCAGGATCCCATGCCCACGTTTCTGCAGGTTCGATCCGCCCTCATGCTGCTGGATCGACAACGGACGGGTCCCTCCGACTCGGGCTCCACGGCTTTCCTCACGACCCGAGTCGGCGGCAACTCCCACGGCGGCACTCACGGCGGTACTTCCGGCGGCTATGGCGGACAGCATGGTGGCACAGGCTATGGGGAAGGCAACTCCGGGCAACGTGGAGGCTATGGACGAGGACAAGGCCGTGGCGGTGGAAATCGGGGCAGAGGTCGCGGACGTCAAAACGGCTCACGACCACGGCAATCCTACGACGGCAACAATACCTGGAACTCGCTGTACCCTAACCCTAACCCGGGTCTCTTAGGCCCACGCCCTAC